TGATGTGTCCTAAACCCATCTAATGATCCAATTCTAATGGCTGACGACAAATGGGATTACAAACTCTATTTTCATACTTCCCCAAAGTACTTCTATACATCCTTATATCTACAATAATAAGCCTAAGAAATCAGCATAAAAAACATAGAATCATATACTAAACTCAATTCTTTAAACAGTCAAGTTTAATCCTTTAAAGTCAAGTTAAATATTTAGCTTATCTAAATCCTTATCTAAACTATTCTATTTACACAAAAATATAGGATTAGGCCTCTGAGAGTATCAAGCCAGAGTCAGGCTTTCTGCCAGCCATTCTGACCTTCTATCAACCATTTTCTCTAACCAGCCTGGTCTCTGAGAAATTCACATGGCGATTTCTACCCCTGACCTCAAAATAGACATTAACAATATTCATTTTTATTATCTCACACAGGAATAACCAAAGATTACAACCAAACAAAATATTCAAAACTGTAACTTCCCATATTCTGTCTAGAAAACAGCTCAGTAAACAGCAAGGATATATCTGACTTATGGCTAGAAGAAACACTACCATGAGGCAGGGCTCAAAGAAACATTCACTCTCCGTCTTACGATTTGTTTTGCCAGTACTCCACTCCCAAGGTACCATGTTATGTTAGTCTGGGTAGACTAGAGAAATCCATGGACACACATAAGAGGTTTATATACAATAGCAGTTGAATATTGAGAAAACAGTCCAGTCCAGTCGAAGGTCATACGTCCGATATTAGCCCATACATCTGATACCAATCTTCAGACTCACGAAACACATGCAATGATGCCGAATGCAGGACGATCACAGGCCAATGGGTAGAAAGTCTTTGGATCCAGTGTCATTGGAAACATCTCAGCGCTGGCAGGGGTCTCTGCATCAGGGTGGGTCCATGTGTCTTGTCAGCTATTATGTCTCCCACGGAGTCTCGCAAAGGTATTTTTATGTGTGTTTGTGGGGCCAGCCGTCTCATGGAATATTACTAATTTTTGATAATTTCTTGGTTTAATTCTTTTATAAAATTAGAGCACAGATAAAAAGAAAACAAATTCACTGCCATTGAGTGGATGCCGACTCATCGCCACCCTGTAGGACAAGGTAGAACTGCCCCAGTGGGTTGTTGAGGCTGTAACTCTCTACTGGAGTAGAAAACCGCATCCTTCTCTTAAGGAGCAGCTGCTGGTTTCAAACTGCCAGCCTTGCAGATTGCATCCCAAGTGTGCTTGATTTCAAATCAGGAAAAGTGTGTGACAGGGTTGTATACTCTCATCATACTTATTCTGCCTGTATGCTGAGCACATCATCAGGGAAAACTCAAAACTCACGGCTACAGAGTCACTACCAACTCATCAGGACCCTATAAGTCAGGGTAGATATGCCCCTGTGGGTTTCTGAGGCAAGCCGAAAACCTGTCTTTCTCTCTGGGAGCTGCTGGTGGCTTCGAACTGCCACCCTTGCATATTGAAGCACTCTCATCTTTCTCCCTTGGTAGGTTTGAACTACTGACCTTGCAATTTACATTTCGATCTTTACCCATCAGCACAACCAGGGCTCCTTATATATTGTTAATGATTTGCTTAAATATGCTCTGCCTGGTTGAAGGCAGCTGCTAACTAAAAGTTTTGTGCTTCAACCCCTTAGTTGTTCCTTGGGGGAAAGATGAGCCCATTATTGTTCCTGTAAAGATTTCAGTCTTGGAAACCCCAAGGAGCAGCTCTGCCCTTTCCTCTAAGCCTACAGCGAGAATGCACTGGATACTAGTCGGTTTTTATGGTTGGTGCGTGGTTGCATGTTTCAGATGCCGCTACACTGGCCATTCTGTTTACAATTTCAGTAGTCGCCCTGATCGCCTTTTTTGGATAGTCCAGTGGGGCTCAATACGTCTTCCTCTAAGAACTGAGGAACCACCATGCTCTTAGACTGTCACCTGTGTGTCCGTTTGTCAAATGCGTTGAGCATGTTGAACGGGTTTCAGCAGAGCTTCTAGACTTGAGAACAGACAACGAAGAAGTTGTAGACTGTCCACTTCTGAGGAAAAGCCAGAGGCAACCTTATGAATTGGAGCAGAACACAGGGCTTTATCTCACTTGGATCTGTAATCACTGCTCACAGAAGCGCCAGTCAAGGTCTCAGTGTATTCAGTGAGGGGATCTGCTCACAAGATCTCATGGTGTTGAAAGACAAAGGTGCCAGTTTGACCACTAAGGTCGTGGTATTTTCATTTGCCTCATAGGCATTTGAAAGTTGCACATTGAAATAAGGACAGCAGTAAAAAGAACCAATTCATTTGAATTATGATGCTGGTGGAGAATTTTCAATGTACCACGGACTGCCAAAACAACAAATACATCTGGCTTGGCCAAAGTACAGCCAGAATGCTCCTTCGAAGGGAGCATGGCAAGACTCCGTGTGAAGTACTTTGGACGTGTTGTCGGAGAGACGGGCAGTGGGAAAGAAGAAGATGCTGGATCAGGTGGGTTGACTCGGTGGCTCCAACAGTGGACTCCGGTGTGGCAGCTGTGAGGATGGCGCAGGACCAGGGGCTGGTTCGCCGTGTTGTTCATAGGGTTGCTATGAGTTGGAAGTGACTTGATGGCATGTACTAACCAACACCATGTTCTTGCAAAGAGTGCCGACAGTGCTGCTGCCAGGTGAACATTGGGCTGCTAATCACAAGGTCAGAGGTTCAAACCCACCAGCCGTTCCAGAGGAGAAGGATGCTGCCTGCTCTCGAGGATTCATGCTGTTGAGAGCCCTGATTAGGTTCGCTATGATTCTGAATTAACTGATGGTAGACAAGTTTCCCAGGCTCCTGAATGGCGTGAGGAAAAATGCAGAAAGACTTTTTGAGGTAAATGTATGTCTTCCTAAGAATGAGGCCAGCTGTTAGTTTTTGGTTGGGGCTCTTGAGAGGCGCTCATGGCAAAGTGACAGGTATTCGAAGCAGTGACCCTAGGGTACATCCGTCTCCCACAGAGGACACGTTCTGATTGTCGGCTCGCGTCTTCTCTTGCAGGGTGTTGACTCTGGGCGGAGGGCTGCCGCGCTTGGAGCACCTGAACCTCTCGGGCTGTGTGACGGTGACGGGCGCCGGCCTACAGGACTTGGTCGCCGTGTGCCCTTCCCTGAACGATGAATACTTCTACTACTGTGACAACATTAACGGTAAAGCCGCTCAGCACGGACACCCTCACGGTTCGCCAGCCCACGTGGTTTTTCTTGGTTCTGCTCATCCTCAGGACTTCCACTCTGGTTTCTAGATTTCCAGCTACCAAGCAGTCTTGAGAAATCACATTTCCCATAATTAGCTTCCGTAATGGTACGTTTTTCTTGCAGGAAGATATTTCAGATGGTGCATCCCACCAGGTTTTTGAGGCCTGTATTGATAGTTCACTTCTTCAAAAGCAGACTGACTTGCAAGTGCTAGTCAGACTGACATGCTGAGAAAATCTTGGGGACCTCCTCCAGGATGGTGTTTTTTAGTACTCATTAACCCCTTGGATCCTTGAGTTTTCAGACACCCTGACTTCCTAATTGCTACTCCCTGTGAGGGATGCGGGCTCTTTCCTCCTAGGACAGCCGTGCCACATGCAGTAGAAAGCAGAGGCTGGCAGGAACATGGACTCTGGGGGTTTCTGGGTCTTGTTGCTGACCTCACTGCACCCTGAGGAGTGCCTGGCGGGTGGGATGGCCTGGTGCAGATGCATGCTTTTTACCACAGGGTTCCCTGGAGCCCCGTCTCTATGCAGCGTGATTCTGGAACCTACTTGTAAAGGTTATCAGATGATATTCCCTGATTTGTGTCTCCTTCTGATAACTCATTGAACTGCTAACCCCAAGGGCAGCAGTGCGAAACCA